GAATTAGTAACAGCAAGAGAATTGCTAAATGTAATAAAATAAAAAAATGTAGGATGGTGACTATATATATGGCGACGTGGACAAAGAGCGGACAAAGAGTTATATCGAAACTGTTACATACCGTTTTAAAGTTGACTTTCGAAATTTTATTCGTGGTTTTATTATCGAAATGATTGCCAGCAGTTTCATTTTCTAACGTTTCATTATAAACGCGTTGCAATCAAATATATTCATTCGGCTGAATCCGGTACATTTTGTTCGTCGTTTTATTCGTCACTGGCCGATCAACGGAAACGATCGTAATTGCCCCGTGTCTGCCCCGGATATTTTCGGACGGCGATTAAAACTACGACTTACGAAAGTTGGGAGCAAGGTCGACGCGTTATCTCCCCGCGTCGACGTTGATATCGGATCGATCCATCCACCTGGATCTATCCACCTGGCGCATAGCGTGTAACGCTGAGTGGCGCGTTACCGGCTCAAGGGTCGAGAGACCTTCAACTTTCGGCCTACGAAACCCGGGGGACGGAATCGCGTGCCTCGCTGGGAATCGGGAATACGATCTCTCAGGGCCAGAATTTCGATCCGCGTCGCAACTCGAAGCACGGATACTCCCGCTTTTTACTCGTCGTTTCGTCGAAAAAGTATACGTCGATCGGAAAAAGAGATCGAAAGGGAGGAATTTTCGAGAGTTGGCCGATCGAGTCGTAAAGATAGGATCGGGGGGTAATAATAATAAGTTTGGTCTGCGCGGACACGGTGACCGCGATGTTCCGCGGCGACAACAGTTTTTTTTTCGAGCCGCGGGTACATACATCGGGTCAAGAGAATTTTGTAAACGGAAAATGTGGTAAAACTCTATACGTCTTTTTCGAAAGACACCATCGCTCCTTTCGGTAATCCCGACGAGGATCGGAATCGAGGCGGGCAAAGATGTTTAAACGAGCGCGTTTCGACATCGAATCAACTTTTCCTTTTATATCAAATTAATCAATCATATTCGGCGCGCGCGATTACGAATCTTCAACCAAATCCTCGGAAACTCGAACCGATATCCTCGTAAATAACGCAGGGACGGGAAAAATGGGTTTGCGCGATGGCAAATTACCGCAAATTGATGGCCGAGGCGAGTTCGTAAGTTGTACATCGAACGAAGGGGGAGGCGGGGAGGTTCGCGCGTGGTTGCCCCCGTCCAACCAACCGTGAACGCGCCCCGTTCCCTGCCCTCTCCGATACATCAAACGAGTAACGAAATCAAGCGTGCTATACTCCTCCGCAGCATCGATCGGCCGACCGATCGATCCACCGCTTTCCACGCGTTCCCCACGCGGCGCGCTCCCCTTTAATCCCTCCTCCCTGCCCCGTCGAAACTCTTCCCGTCGAAAGGCGAGTCGAGCCAATTCGAACGGGGCCTTAACCCCCGCCGCCTCGACTCGAGCCCGGCCTCGTGGCGGTGTCGGGCCATGTGCGACGCCACTCCTAACAATAAACCTTCCTCTGCCTCTACCACACACGACTTCCACCCCGGTGGGGTGGAAAACAGAGAGATAAAACAGAGAGAGAGAGAGAGAGAGAGAGCGGAGCAGAATGGAGGTGAAAAAGCTTACCAGGAGGCGCCCGGTAAATCTGTATATCCTCCGCGTTCCTTTTCTGCGTGGCGGGGTGTGGTTCCTTCGCATACGGGTGGGGGATCACCCCACGGGATCAAGGAGTTTGGAGTTGGCGCGGCTCGATTCTCGGGGAAACTCTTCCTCGTCCCTCGGATACCACGGACGTGGTCAACGGTTCGAGGCGGAGCCGCGTGCGTGTGCGTGTGTATGCGCGACGAGAGGAAAGGGAGGACGCGAGGGGGAAAGTCGTCGCTCGCGCACGTGTCGATTCCCTTCTCCTTCTTCTCCTTCTTCTTTTCCTCCTCTTCCCTTCTTCCTATTATCATCCGATCCGGCCACGCGTGCGGGGGGACGACGATTCGGGGCAGAAAGCACGAGGGAGTGAGGGAGGGAGGGAGGGTGGGAGGGAGGGAGAGGGAGGGGGTCGTTTCGAGAAGAACGAAGGGGGGGATTTATCGGGTCGGATCCTGCCTTCGCTAGGACATTTTTCGAAACCGGGGCGACGATACGATTCGGCGACTATGGCCCATCCGACGACTACCACGACGACCACGACGACCACGACCCCCTTCTTCTTCTTCTTCTTCTTCTTCTTCTTCTTCTCCGAGCCTTTCTCCTTTCCTGATCGGCGCGACGTCCGTCCTCCCACCGGAAGATCGTTCGGCTTCCCACTGGGCTGACGATGGTCGGTCGTCGGCTGCCTCCTCCCTTCCTACCAACCGTCTTCAGTCACGTGACGCATCGCGCCGCGCTACCACCCAAACGACCGAGGCGATCGTCGCCGTGTCGCGATCTCACCATCGATTCACTTTTCCAATTTTTCCACTCCCCCGTCCCTTCCTCGCCAAACTCCTCCTCCCCCCTCCCCCCGCGCGGGAGGACGCGATCGATCCAACACCCAGCGAGATCTTCCACCCTCTTCGTAACCACGAAGAACAGTTTCGAGGTCGATACCGAGAGAGAGAGAGAGAGACGCGAACTCGTTCAACGTTCGACGATGATTCACCACCGATCGGCCACGACTCGACGACACTTCACCACTTCGACTCTCCTTCTTCTTCGCGCACCACCACAACACGACGAAAACAATGAACACCGCGTACAGTTTCTTCTTCTTCCTTCTCCTCCTCTTCTTCCTCCTCCTCCTCCTCCTCCTCCTCCTCCCGTGGCCGAATCACAACTGCGACGCGCGAACTGCGAGCACTGCCGAGACAGGAATCGCGCGCGCACCGCTCTCCTTCGCCTCGTTCGAAACGAGACCGTTCGCCCGTCAACTTTCCGACTTCGTCGTCATTGGATGGTGGTGCTCGTGCTCGCTTCGCAAGGGAAAAAATGGCGGAAGAGAGGAGAGAGAGAGAGAGAGAGAGAGAGACGGTCGGATCAGGGAGTAGCAGCACCGGTCGGACGACGTCGCGGCGCCATGACAGTGTTGGCCGCGTCCTCTGCCGCGAACGCCCCCACCAAACAACCCCCACTCGCGCTCCACCTCCCCCCCTCTCTCTCCACCGACTTTTGCCTCCACCAACGCGATATTGATCGGGCGGAAGGGCGGCATCCAGCCTCGTAACGACTTTCCAACGTGCCCCCCGTGCCTCTCTCTCTCTTTCTTTCTTTCTTTCTTTTTTCTTTTTTGGCTTGCTCCTTTCTTCCCTTATCCTTCGTATCTCCACCCCTCCTCTCCTAATCCAAGATTTCACGCGAAACAAATTCTTCCTTTGTCCCCCTCCCGGATCCCCTTGTCGGGGGCACGTGGAGACGCGTTTCGAACATCCTCGAGACATTCCCAAAATTTCGGATCGTCTCGTGAAAAAGTCACCGATCGAGTAACAAGAGTTAAAACTATATTATACGATCATTCTTTTCCGTGAAATTCCAATGGACGAGCGAGCGCGTCGAGTCGAGGCGCGAAGTTATCGCAAGGTGGAGCGAAAATTTCGCGCCTCGTCGCTATCCCAATCCAACTTCCAACAACCTTATCCTCCAACTTTCCAGTTCCGAATACGCTCGAGCGAACGAACGAGAGGCCGTTTTAATCCCTCCCCGAGAAACGAGGACAACAGGAAGAGATCTTAGAGGCTAGGACGGATGGAAAAGGGAGGACGAAAGTTTATCCTAAACGGCCATCTAACGGCGTGCGGAGAAACGAACTCGTAGAGAGAGAGAGGAGGAGAAGGGAAAAAAAACGTTGCGTTCATGCATATGCAAACATCATAAATTTATACACTCGCTCGTGTCTTTGTTCAACCTCCGACTGTATCCGCGAAAAAAGAAGAAAGGAAAAGGAAACATGAGAAACGAACCGCGGAAAATACAGGAGAGGCCTCCTCTCGGTGAAAAGGGGTTTGGGGGAAATCGAGGCCGAGCTGAGAAACATTTATTGCATCCCCATTGTACCCTGATATACGGATACACGTTCTATTATAACGCACAACGTGCTTTGATCGCAACGTATCTGGACGTAATAAAATACTCTTCGAGTTTAACCGAGTCGAAGAGAAGTAGAAGGTGATTAAACAAAGCGGCGAATTGAAATATTTGAAATATTCTACGGGATCGTTGACAGAAATTTGTCAATCTTGTCTTCGTCTCTGCTCGAACGAAACGAACAAAGTTTGACGAACGAAAGAAAACTCCAGCATCCGGCCACTTTTAGTCTCTCCTCGGATATTCTCGGGATATTCTTTCGCTGAAACTTACCCCGCGCCCGCTCGGATCCAGGCCGGAGAGCGCCGGCTCGGGATCTGAAACGAGAAGGAAGGACGGCTCGGTTAGTTCGGTTTGGTCGAGGATACGATACGGTGGCGTAGAAACTTTTGCAATTTACGGGCTGGAAAATATAAGAAGGATCGCGTGACCGAGGTCGGGCAGCCAACGAGGGGAGGATGTTGGTGCGCCCTTCGAGACGATTCGAACGGTGATCCACCACAACGTTCTTGGATCGATCGAAATTTTCCATTTTTCTTTGATCGAGTTTCCTCTTCCCAATCCTTGCACGCGATTCCTCCTCCCGACGAATCTGACTTTCAAATGTAGGCAGACTTTTATACATGGATGTACATGTATATAAGGCGTCACGAAAGTGGAACGGAATCGAGGCGAAATCGCCCTATTCATTGCGAAATATCGCGTATTGCCGATTCGAATCGATGTCCACCGTTCGACGAAATTCTATATCGGTTGATTTCGTGGCAAACCCGATCATTCGGCTAAATTTGCGCGGGATACCGTGATGTGGAAAAGTTTCGACTCTCAGACACTACTCGATTCGATGCGAGAGGTGGCGATTTTTTAAAATGTCGCGAATAGATTCGCGAATGAAATTAGCTCGAGCGAGGATGAGTTTGATTTTTCAAGCTGAAAAATAAAATACATGAAATACATAAAATATAAAAGTTTTCAATTCGTAATCGTTTCAAGCTAGCTAAGAAATTCGTCGAACGAGTTGTTGGTTCGGCCGAGCGAGAAAGGGTTAAATCTCTTCCCCCCCCCCCCCCCCTATTAGAATCCGTTGGTCGGGGAGAATGGATATCCTCGAGGTGCCGGGGGGGGGGGGAACTGCCGAGTCCAAATCCTGATCGTTCATCCCGCGAAAAGCGTCCGTGATGGGGCAACGATTCCGAACGAGTGCACTCGTTCTCGAGAAGCGTGAAACGACACTGGAAACGGTCAATTTAATCGTTCCCGAGAGCGCCAATTCCTCCATGTGCGCCCTTTTGTTCTCCCTTTCGCGTATGCTGTTCCACACTCGCGTTCGAAACGCGGGCGAAAATGGGCGAAAACCCGTTCCAGCGTGGCAAATGGCACGGCAAACAGACCGAGTATTCGATTAACCGTGATTGTGACCGCGTTGGACGAGGGATCGATAATGCGCGGTATTTGGGAAAAAAAAAAAAATACAAAACCGGTCCAGATTCGACGGTAAAAAGATCCAAGATCGAGGGAGGGAATTCTAATTCAAATAGACGAATCCAGCACACGTAACCGCGTACGTAACCGTGCCTCGAATACGCGTCGATCGCCTAATAACGCGCATCACGGGTTCTCGTGGACGTGCGTGGCGGGGCTCGAGCATCGAATCGATGTCCCTCCGGTACCGACCGCCACGTCCCAAGGATCTCGCGTCCAACTAATTCTCCCTTCCTTTCCTCCGCCTCGTAGATTTAGAGAGAAATACATGGAATCGCGGTGCGAAAAAAATAATCGATCGTTTCCCCAAAACGTTTTCGACCTCGACTCGGAGCGGACGAAGGTCGAGAGCGTTGGAAAAATTATTGGAGAGCGGAAGGAAGAAGGAAGGAAGGAAGGAAGGAAGGAAGGAAGGAAGGAAGGAAGGAAGGAAGGAAGGAAGACTCGGCCGATAACGAGGAAAGGCGAGAAGAGAAAAAGAGGCGAGGACGATTCGAAACGAACGTTTCATTCGGACGGTTGACGTGGCCGGAAATGGGAAATGGAGCTCGAGGCCAACGAGACCGGTGAAATGCAAATGAATGGGTGGCTCTACCACCGCCGTCAACACCTATCCTCGAGTCGAGTCGAGTCGAGGATTTCTCGCGAGAGGCGACCGTGTGCGCGTCTCGCTTCTCGATCCATGTGCTACTGAGAAAAGTGCGACCACCGCGCAGCCGCGACGCGCAGCTCAGTGAAACAACCGTGAAACTGCACCGGAACCCGACGTTGTGTGGCGCGACGCGCATAAACCCACATCCCGTCCAATAATACGCGCGGATTAATAAATATCTCTCCACCATTTATACCCGCTAATTTCGTTTATTAGCTTCCACCACGTACATCGAGATCGTAAAATTGGGCAGACGTCGATGCTTTACACGTTCCATCCATAATGAATATCCCCCTCTCCCCTCCCTCACATATCTATACACACGTCGCTTACGCGTGAAATACGTGGCGCGAGAAGGCGACTCGATCGAATTATCGGCCGGCAAAGAAGATTCCTCGAAACCTGGAAATTTAATTTCAAAGTCAACCGCGAAGAACTACTACCACCGCTACTATCGCTTACGATCGATGCAATTAACGTGGAATTCGTGGAAAGAATTCGCCCTTTTTCCCGCCTCTTTCCGTTCCTTTTGCTTTCCCGGTGTTCGATCAACCACGAATTGATGACCCCGTCGATACGATTTGCCGATCGTAACGTCATTTGTCTCGTTGCCTTTGACCGATTCTTTTCCTTCGTTATCTCGTTCGCGTCCATCCTTCTTTCTTCCTTTTTCTTTTCTTTTTTTTGCCAACGCGGCGACTTCTCTTCCTCGATCGATCCTACACACACTCAACTGTCGCGAGTTCTCGCGCGTTCTCGTGGTTAATCCCGTGGCAATCCACT